AATTGTCAACCTTAAATCCCTTTATAGATAAAAATGAAATAATTCGTGTCGGTGGTAGAATTGCACGGGCTGCAATTAGCTTTGTACAAGCTGTTTTGTTGACATTTTCTTGATTGTTGAGGTTATGATTCTGTGACCCTTTGTAGATCTATTATCTATGGCTGTCTTTACTCGAGCTCCACGCCGGGCGATATAAGTACTATACTTTAAGTCTCAGTTGGTAATTATTGATTGTGGGTTCAATAGTTGGTTCGTGTATTGAATTTATGAAGTCTATGACGGCTTTTGTTGCTATGTTGATGCAATTTACTTTTATTGATGAAACTGACTTTTGTTATACTATGACGTATATTTCTCTAATTACTTTTTGCGTAGGTTCTTCATGCTTTCTTGGGAGCCAATGTTTTTGTTGAAGGGCTTGTAAATAACGTAAACTCTGGATTTAACTGAACACAGATTTATTTGTGATTACACTCAATCGCCATCTTGGCTTACAACTGAACTAGTAATTTTCTATAGTCTGAGACAACCGTCCCGACCAGTTCTGTAAATGAATCGCACTGTATTTATCAATTAATCAATCAATTCAGAATAAACTTGAAAAATTTTGGAGAACCGAAGAAATTAGTTCGCCTAACTTAAGGACCAAACAAGATATAAAATGTGAACACATTTTGAAAGAAACACTGACTGAAAATCAAAACGGACATTTCGTGGTTACCTTACCAATGGTAGATCCTGTGCCAGACTTAGGAAGTTCTCGTGATCAAGCTATAAATAAATTTTTATCATTAGAGCGAAAATTAGAATTTAAAAGGACAATATCATGAATTTATGTTGGAATATAAGAGTCTTGGCCACATGAGTAAAATTGACGACGCAACCATAGCATACAATAAACAACTAATATATTACTTACCTCATCATGGAGTTATCCCCGAAGATAAGTTGACAACGAAACTTAGGTTAGTTTTTAACGGGTCTTTTGAAACTAGTAATGGAACATCTCTCAATGATATTTTACTGGTTGGACCTCAGTTGCAAGATGATTTGTTCAGTATTATCGTTCGCTTTAGAAAACACGAATATGTCATGATAGCGGATGTGGAGAAAATGTACAGAATGGTAGAAATTAATCCAGCTCAGCGAGACTTACAACGCATTATTTGGCGATTCGACTCATCTCAACCTCTAAGTCATTATCGATTNTTCGCCATCCAACGAGCATGATAAATCGGACCTGGAGCGCACCAAGTTATCTTCGCAGATGGTTTGTTCAGAACAATCATGGTGAGCTTTATTAGCTCTTCGTAATCATCACGAACTTGATTCTCTCCAGATAGAGCAGTTGTAAGACTCTCAACAGTACTTTCAGCGAACTGTTCCGCGTTCTTATCGAGATGAAGACAATCGTAGTGCTCCTTTGGTAATTGTTAGCGCAGATTTCTATTATTTATTTTTATTTTTATATCGTTTGTCATGCCGCTACTTGCAAGAGGGCTACCTTATCGAGTTATGTGGGGGTAACAGGGTGACCGCCCATTATCGATCTCACCTGTATTGTCTTGTCGCCATCACGCATGGCTTACTGTACCAAAAATATGTTTCTCGACTTACAATAAAATTATTAAATGTATTGTGTTACTGTTGGAATCATTTTATCCCAAAAAGAAGCAATTAAATATGGTCCTTCGAATACACTCATTAACATACTAACAGTTAAATTACAATGAATTCAACAATACCCTTTGTCTAGTAATGAAACAAACAGTTTTGGTTGATTCAGGGTAATTTTCATATTTTTGCGTATACAACGTATTTTTACCAACATACAATAGAAAATTCCAAATATAACCTGATTCCGATTCACATAAAACGTATGACTTTATACCAAATCGAGATCTTTTCATAGGAATGTATTGCTTCCAGCCAAGTCTTCCCTTGAACAACATCAAACTTTCGTCCACAGTAATATTTTGTTTGGGAACCAATACTGCTATGAATTTCAAACGCAAGTATTCTACAACTTCATATAATTTACGTAATTTTGGACAGGGATGTGATTCTGGGTTGAAAGTCGAATTATCAGAAAAATGCCAGTATTTCATAATAAGTCTAAATCTGTCTCGGGACATAATTTTTGCAAAAATAGGAACACGAATTGATTCTCTTTTTGACCAGTTCCATTCTTGTTCAGGTAAATGAACTATACTTTGTAATAACATTACGCCTATAAATACTCGCATTTCTGCAGTATCTTCATTCACCCACGTTTTTGATTTAGAATTTTTGGATGTTGTTTGTTGCGCTAATTCCTGGTTGGCGTATTTATTTGTTTCACTTACCATGTTTCGACATATTCATAATTTTCTTAAAATATAGTTCAAATAATATTGAAGAATAATTGTGGATAAAACATTGCGCTCTTCTATTTTTATACGTATATTCTGAACATGCAGAAACTTGCACATGCACTACTGATACAATTATCCAGCCTGTCTGTTGTGATTCGTCTAAATTGTTACTACAATACCTTCACTTATTTCATGCCCCCCACAAGAAACATATATGACGGGGAAAAAGCGTTTGCGACGTACAAACTCTTTAAAAATAGATGCGACGCGGTAATAGCGTGGCCCGTCAAATTTAACAAGATGCGGATAACGCGATTTCCGCGTCGCCCGCGGTTAAAGGGTTAATTGACTTACTATTTTGGTTAACTGTCTTAATTGTTCGCTCGTACTCATAGGTTATTCAATACTATGAATTGGCATAAAATCGATTGATTAAAACTCTCATCTTCAGAAGATGTAGAAAGTTGTCTAACTTGTCGAGGACTCATTTTCACAATTTACCTCTTACTCACATCAATTTCAAAATCGAACTGTCTGCATCACGTTATAATTTTTTTACCACCACATTCGCGCGTACATCGGTCGACCGACGAGTTATGACATTGTATGGATGCGTTCAGGGCTGCGCTGACGGATCGACCGACCGTACGTACACTCAAAGCAAAAATGAATATTGATACAGACCGCCTTATTAGTGAAGTGCAGCTTCATCCGGCACTATGGTATTTATCGTCTCCATTTTATAAAGACCGTGATGCTAAAATAAGTGCTTGGCAAGAATTTTGTAAAGAAATAATTAAAGGCCTGCCTCTAACCATGGACAAAAATCCACGCAAAAACAACGTCAAAAAAATCGCCATGAAGATGAGTTTGACAGATAAATGATGAATTTCTTTAAAGAGAATGCAAAAGCTATGCAAAACGATGACATGATGTTCTTCTGTTCACTGTTGCCGATTACTAATACTTTTTCTATCGAGCAAAAATTAATATTTCGTCAAAAAGTGCTACAAAAAGTAGTAGTGCCCATCGTGCCACACGCGCGCATGCGTCTTTCTTCTTTAAAGTAATGGTAAATGCTTTACAATCGGTAACGAGGGTAAACTTAATTCCGATCAAATAAAATCGGAATTTTTTAAGAGCCTTTACGATTAACAACACCTCCAATTCGTAGCTGTGATATTTTTCTTCAGCTGCGGACGTTTTACCGCTGGCATAGTGAATTGGATGGAACTGTTGGTCTTCGTGATCACGTTGTAATAAAATGGCACCATAACCTTGAGCTGACGCATCTGTGTGAAGCTCTGTTTCCGCTTTAGGGTTTCACAAATTTTATACGGGGTTTATTGATCAGCTTCCACTTAAGTTCTTTAAAAGAGGCCCCCTCCTTCTCGCTAAAATGAAAGATATTGCCCCCACGTAACAAGTCAGTCAATGGTCGAGCTAATACCGCATAACTAGGCACCAATTTTCGGAAATATCCTGTTAAGCCGAGAAAACACTGTATATCCCGAATGTTGCGAGGTTTTGGATACTCTTTTATTGCTTTTGTCTTTTCGTCGGACACCGTCACTTTTCCGTTCTCTATCACATACCCCAAATAATTGACTTTAGTCTGTAGCAGATTACATTTCTTCCAGTTTATCTTCAGTCCATATTCACCTGCCGTCTTTAAAACTTGTTTTAACTTAAACACACCTTCTTCTTGATCCTTCGATGGTATGATCAAATCGTCCATGTAGATCAAAAGGCATCCCTTATCTACCAAATCTCGAAAAGCCACATTTAAGTATCTTTGAAAAACAGCGGGTGATCTTCAAAAATTCGTACTGCGCATTGGGAACGATAAAGGAAGTGTATCGAATGCTTTCTTCCTCTACGGGAACGTGAAAGAATCCGTTCTTAAGATCAAGAGTCGTGAACAATTTACTTCCATAGAGCTGATCGATTTGATCTTCTATAACCGGAAAAGGAAAACGGTCCTTTATAACTTTTTCATTGAGACGGCGATAGTCTACGCAAATTCTTAACGACCCGTCCCGTTTCCTTGCCAATACTATCAGACTAGCGTAATCAGAATTTGATGGCCTGATTATTCCGTCTTTCAGCCATGCTTCGATCTGTTCATTAACTTCTTGTTTCTCTCGTAGCGCCAACCTTCGCGGGGGTTGATAAACAGGAATATTGTCAGTCAACACGATTCGTATCTTTACACCCGTTTCGCGCACTTTTAGTGGTTCATAATTTGCGATTATTGTTTCAACTTCTTCACGCGCTTTAGAGTCTGATATATGGGACGTAGAAATGTTGTTTAAAACACTAACTGCATTAACTTCGGGCAACTCCATACTTAATTCTGGGATTGCAATGTCTACGAATGTGACATGTCCCTGGTTAATTGATAAATCCACTTTTCTTAAAAAGTCGCCTCCCAATAACATGTCATGGCGCATCACTGATTCTGAGACTATGTGGAAGCGCGTTTCGAAAATAGCACCATCAATATGCATTTTCACAGATGTTACCCCTAATGAGGAATTTTCGTTTGACCCGATCCCGCTAAAACGAAGCTGAGTATCCTCCATTGGTGGCGCGCCAATCGCGACGTACTTATCCGCCCGAATCAAACTAATATCGCTTCCCGAATCAATAAGACTTTTTTTGCTTGTTTATGACGACCTCTTTGAATATTTTGTTGTCTATAGTCTTCTGTTCGTTCTTCTTTCTGACTTCAATTACATTCGATTCACTTCTACCGGCTTGTTTCTTACATTTTGCGGAAACATGTCCGAATTCCCCGCACTTAATACATTTCGTGCCCTTCGCTTTATTTGGACATTTGACACTCACGTGACCTCTATCTCCGCAGTTGTAGCAACGTTGGAAGCTCTTCTTTTCATTTTCATCACTTTTACTGTTCATTTTTGTTTCAATTTTCGGTTTTTCAACTCGATGCCACGATTTTATATTGTTTTTCATCGTTTCGTAGTGATTTAGTTTTTCTTTAAACTCTCGAATGTTTCTTGCACCATATAAAACTGTTTTGTTCGATTCTTCGTCAGAAATTACGTCACGTTGATTTTCTTCATCGTTGTTTTCTTCTCTAGCATCTTCTAATAGCAAAGCTGCTTCTAATTTAGCAACAAGCTCGTCTTTCTTCCCCGTCGTCTTCAATTTTCGTCTATTCAGTTCGTATTTTAATTCATTTACTTTCATTACTGTTACCGCGTTCGCCGAAACAGCACTAGCGTCAACGTTTTCAGTATCACTCATTTTGTCTTCCAAATCCCTGTTGAGCCCCCAAAATTTGTAGGTATTTATTGTAAAAACAAATACAGATGGTAATATGAAAGTTTTTATGGAAGAATTAAAAGAAAACAAAATGATATTAATGAAAACGATTAAAACAAAAGTAGAAACGTCTTGCTTCGCCACCGATCACACCCCGACTCTGCTCTCGAACTCGCCGAACCCTTGCACGTGATAATATCGATCGGGCAAAAACCCCGCGGCAATCACGTACGCACTTCGCGGTACCGACACATGTACACACGCGTAGTTCACCAATTCTGCAANCCCCACCACTAAGTGTTCTCGAGTTATATCTTTGCGCAGTAAAGCTCAGTCCGTGCCATGCCGTCAAAATAAATTAAATTTTTAGTTATTGTTTTCTTCTCAAAATTAACATGGGGGCTATAATATGAAAGATGCTAAAAAGAGGCGATTTCGTTTTTTTTTGCTCTTCGCCATGGGGTAATATCAACTTACACAAAAATATTTTGGGGTAATGATTAAAAAAGTTCCCCGATCGCTGTCTTAGCCCCTTGCTACAATGCAAACACTGTAGAAATGCTACGTGTTATGTTATGACAACTTACCAAGTGGAGTTTCTGAGAAAGAGGCGATTTCGTTTTTTTTTTTGCTCTTCGCCATGGGGTAATATTAACTTACACAAAAATATTTTGGGGTAATGATAAAAAAAGTTCCCCGACCGCTGTATTAGAGCATGTACAGCAAAAGGATTCATTTTTTTGTTAACTGTACACACGCGTTACAGTTCGCCATCAGCGTAGCTTACTTGCTGTTTGTTTAAATCAGAACTACTTTAAATTTAATAATAAGATATACAAACAAAAGTAAGGTTTGCCTATGGGTGTGCCACTATCTCCTTTATTAGCACATATATTTATACAATCTGGAACAAACTATTCATAATAGCAATCAGAAAAATAGTATCAAGCTTTGGAGAAGATACGTAGATGATGTTTTCGTTGAATGGAGTGGTACGAATAGACAATTAAATAAATATCTAGAATGCCTAAATAGTTTGCATAACAGAATTAAATTTACAATAGAAATAGAAGACAACAACCAGTTAAATTTCTTTCATGGTGTTCCCATGGGTAATCCTTCATCACCAACGATAGCTGACTTCACAATGAGGGACCTCCAATGGACTTGTTTACAACGTTTGGATTTCTCTCCGCTTTATTATTGCAGATACGTTGACGACATCGTGATCGCCGTGATCCTACCTAGGGACAAAGTAGATGGGATTATTGATGTCTTCAACAGTTACCACCCGAAACTGCAGTTCACTTACGAGATGGAGATTGACCATTCCCTTAACTTTCTTGATACACAGGTCAAAGTAGAAGACCAACATACTCGGGTAGACTTTTACACTTTCATTCGAATCATTCAGTTGAACAGAAAAAAGCGATCGTTTATGGCTTATTGAACAAAGCAATTCTATTATCTGACAGAGAGTTTCATGTCGAAAATGTAAAAATAGTGAAAACTATACTTTTCACAAAATTTATATCCATTAGAGTTCATTAATAGTTGCATAAAGAACCGATTTAAATTTTATAAATATAAAAATAACAATAACAACAACCAAGAAAACACTCAACGTAACTTCTTAGTATTAGCTTTTCACTCACTTCTGACAAAAGATTTAAGACAATATTCCCAGGATTTCAATATAAAAACTGTTTGCAAAATTGACAACAAGTTAGATTCAATAGTTAAAAAGGGAAAGGATAGTTTATCGATCACTGGACAACATCATGTCATTTATCAAATACCTAGAATGCAATGATTGTGACGCTAATTATATTGGCCAAACAAAAAATGCATTAGAAATACGAGTTAAACAACACAGACAGAACATAAACTATTCTGATAAACACAACGTTATTTCATTACATAGAATACAAAAAAATCACGATATGAAATGGAACGATCCAAAGATTTTAGATGTAGAAAGACAATGATACAAAAGAGATGTTTCAGAAATGTTACATATAAAAGGAACAAAAACACCTTAAATGTTTTTAAAGACACAGAAAAACTGAGTGACATTTACACGTCCGTCTTATAATTTCACACTTTTCATATTCTATTTATCAAGTTTATATTATTTATTGAATAATTTATTTTTCGTTCGAATTGTAAATTGATTTGTAAATGATACCTTTTTTAAAAAACTCTAGGTTTATAGATTTAAAAAGAAAAGTACTTCACACAAAATACTCCAATCGAAAATAAAGTCACCACTGAATAAGTCTATTCCACCTTAGTCTGCTTTCACACAGACGGTTTCTTGCCGTGGCCGTGCACGGCGACCGTGCCGTGTATAACAGTAATACATTGGTTTATATGTAAGCTTTCACACAGCACGATTTGCTGCCGTAGCCGTGCACGGCTGCCGTCGCAGCACGGCATGGGGACTGCAACGGCACGGCGCCGTGGCCGTGCACGACAACAGTGACACAAACAAGTGTATAGAAGTATTCACACGTGCCGTGTGTTCACACGGCAAAAATTGTTTTCAGGATCGTTTTTCTCTCTGAATTGTGCAGTTAACAGAAGAAATTATATAGTGTGGCGGATAATAACACCGCTATATTTAATTTAAAACATATATTTGACTAAACATTATATTACACCCTTTTGTAAATATTTCTACTCGAATTCTTTTGTATCTGTCTTTCTATTATTATTATTCTCTGTGAAAATATTTGGAACAGTGTATTCAAATTGTTTTGTATTCAATTCTATCGCTATCAATAACTTTTATTACTTGTACTTTCCAGTAATCCCTATTAATATTTCAGCTTCGCGTACTAACTTCTTGCAATTTTACGCATAATTCATCGAAACTCCTAATGGACATTCGAAAATAATTAAAAAATTTGGA